TTAATGTCTGTCTCTGTGTTCTTCCTGCGGGAGTGTGGAGACGAGAGGGCAGCGAGCACGGACACTAGTGTTAGGAAAATACGTTTTCTAGCGCTTATTTGCTGTGCATTTTGTTTTATGCATTTAATAACAGACCAGTATATTAAAGGCCACCTTTGAGTTATAAAGGTCATTAGATTGTTTAGCAAGACTGAAAACTGTGCAGAACAGGAAGCTTTGTGCAGAGTTGCAGAGAGCATCGCCCACATTTGTCCTGGTAAAAGAGAACAACAGGAAATGACCTTTGGGTTGTAAAAACTAGACACGAGTGTAGTTGTGCAGATGTTTTTGCAGCTACGTAGCGGACATGTTGAATTAAAATTGATAAAGTGACGGTTTGGTAGGGGAGGAGCGAGCAGACTATATTATACACATCTGGCCTGTAATGCTTCAGATCTGCAGATGCTTAGCACCGTGCACATCTCCCTTCTGGAAGGTAATGATTGAATAAAATGATTATAAATACTCTGGCCACTCTCACTCTGCGTCTTCTCTGTCCGGCCTGAAGAATAAAAGAACCTGGGACAATACTGGGAAGCAGAGTTTTGGAGCACAGACACTGGGAGAAAACACTGCACAGGAGTCAGACAGCGCACTGGGATTTATTGTTGTGGTTTAACTTTATTTACACTGTAAATAAAGACACTGCTTCATTGCAAGAGTCCTGCATTTGGGTCCTCATTCCCCACATCAATCATCACATATTAATTAATAACCTGGAACGGTACGGGGTCAGGCGGGTTGTAATGCACTGGGTGACAAATTAGTGACAGGAAACAGAAGCTGGGTGAATATTTCTCATCATGCTTGGACTTTGCATGTGGTGTTCCACAAGGCTCTGTACTGGGTATTAAATGATTTACTGTTTATATAAATTATATTTGTAAGGTATCTGATATATTAAAATTAGTATTATTTGCAGACGACACAAATATTTTTTGTTTTGGGGGGAATCTAAAGGAGCTGCTGGACACGAGTAACAAACAAACAAATCTAAGTAAAACTAAAATCGTCTTATTTGGGAAACACACAAGTGCAGATTCATGTAGATGGTGTGGAAACTGAAAGAGTTCTTGAACAAAAGTTTCTTGGTGTGATAATAGATGATAAATTAAGTCTCATATAAATAATTTAAAGAACAGCATTTCAAGCAGTATTTAAATTTTGAGTAAAGTAAAAACCACTCTGGGCCACAGATCACTCCACAGTCTCTACTGTTCACCGATCGCATCGTATTTGCATTGCTGTGCAGAGGTTTGGGGCAACAAATGTTCGCTATCATCAATCTTTATATTACAAAAAAGGGCCATGAGGATAATCCATAACACCAGTTACAGAGATCATACAAATCCACTGTTCTTAAAATCAAAAACACTAAAATTCACAGATCTGGTTCATTTTTTCACGGCACAAATTATGTATAAAGCAATAAATAACCTACTTCCTGACAATATTCTGAAACTGTTTTCTAAATTGAGAGAGACGGAGGTTTCAGAAGCTCCTGTATCAAATGTGACACAAAGGGAATCACAGGGGTAAGTTCCATTTCTGTGAGTTTGCACTTGGGTCCTTTTCCTGCCTGCAGTCACAAGACACACTGATGGTTTGGAGGAAGTAATTACTGGTGCATGTGGTTAGTATTGAGCTGTAGTGTTATGTCTTGGCTGAGCAGTACAACGACAGACAGCAAATAAAACTGGTTCCTGAGTTTTTTAAATCTCAAAAAAAGTGTTTTGAGGATTCTGACAGTTGGAACATCAAACGTCCTGATGATTTACGAGCCGAGCAAGCTGCAGCAAGAAGCGGTCATATCTGGGCATGCCTACCACACCCACACTGATGTTCCAGCCTGGGAACATCTCACTGACACCTCTGCTTGTCGTTTAAATGCATTTTTCTGCATTTAAATCATTTGTGAATAATACAGTTCCACACATTTGTGTGCATGCAAACCCTCATATCTATGTATTATTATTTCCTGAGTCTGAGGAGTTTTCTCTCTGTGTTGGATATCGTGAGTGAATCACTAATCACTAATCAATAAAGACAAAAACAAAAACACTCACCTCATTTTAGTTATTAAGGCTCAGACACGTTGGCACAAAGCGTACTGGATGTGCAGCAGTTTGCAGCAATATGAAAGAAATAATGGTGCGTTCAGTATCACCTCTGACAGGACAATTCATCATAGTGAAGCAAACAGCAACACAGCAGGTTTTTCTTTCAGCTGTGAGGTCACCAAAGAAATTCAACATTTAACCCATCAAGGTCCTGAGGCCTGCAGACACTTCCTGTCTATGACTGAGGTCTGGGTTGTGCTTTGAAGATCGTTTTTTTCCTACAACACCCGAATACACCACAGTCTGCTTAGCTTTCGTTTCTCTTCATCATCACACAAACATAAATGTGAGAAAGCTGCTTTCAAAGACACAGAGACATGAGGGAAAAATCAGCATTTAATGAGCCAGGAGCAGCCACGGCGGTCCTGAGCCTGCAGCTCTAACTCAGCATCAGCGCTTTCACTGCAGCTCCAGGCGCAGCTCGCACACAGCACACAGGTACTCTTCATTGTCCTCATCACAGTTCAGAGCTTCCTCATAAAACTCAGCAGCCTTCTTCCTGTCGCCCTCAGCTCTGGCCACCAGACCCAGCAGAGCGAGCGCCTGACCATCACGCCGCGTCTTTGTCAGACGTCTGTCAGCGATCTGCTTCAGTCTCTGCAAGAAAAAACATGGAGGAACAAAGAAAGATGGATTTCTGTGTATTTAAAGTAAGTGACTACTACATTCAGTGTCTCTCTGTGACCTGCACCCTGTGACCTGCACCCTGTAACCTGCATCCTGTGACCTGGACTCTGTGACCTGGACTCTGTGACCTCCATGTTGGGAAACAGCAGGGCTCCACCTTCTTCTCGTTCTTCTGCTTCTTCTTCTCAGCTGAAAAATATTAGAAGTTTCCACAAAGCCAGTTTTCTTCTGCTGTGGCTGAGTTTCTCCTTCTCTTCCAGGTAACTGGTGGAAGATGTTTGCACTACCCAGCAGCCCTCCAGCAGAAACCATGTGAACTGTGGTGATGTTTCACACTGGCTTTTCGACCTCAGTCTTCAGTCACACCAGGCTCTCACCAGATCTGACCTGGCCTAAACCCTCTGATCCCCCAACACCAGACGACTCGTGACCTGTGCTCACCTTAGCGCACTGTCTCCACTCATACTTGCAGGGTGGTAACAGCAGAGCCTGAAGAGGAAACAAGAAGACACGGAGATAAATCAAACCGACTTCATTTTTCTTGTAAACAAAGGGGCCCTAGCAAGAAACGTTTGGGAACCACTGTATTAGGTGGACCTCCAGCTGCTCGTGGGTATTAAAGCACACAGCATAACGAAGTGTGAAGCCAAGAACTGAGAGTTTATGACAGCTCCTTTCACCTGTGGTGGAAATGTAAAATAAATGTGACATTAACAGGCCGATGCTACAGTTCAGTGGAGTGTTGGAAGAGTGCTCCGGCCTCCAGTAAGACAGCTGCACATCACCAAGAGTCTGGGAAACTACACCCAACTCACCTGAGTGTAGTGGGCGATGGCTTCAGCCTCGGTTTTTTTGTTAAAGAAGAAAAAGTCACCGTAGCGCTGATGGACAGTCTGAAAAAGGCTTTTCTCCGACTCTGCTAGCTTCAAGCACTGCTGGAAAATCTCCTCAGCCCTGAGGAACCAGAGACGATGATGATGATGAATTTAGAGCCAAAAACAAAAGAGCGACTGCACTGCAGCTTTGCACAGACCAGTACCTGCTCAAATCCCTTTGCTCTGCATACAGCTGTGCCAGATCAGTCAATGCCAGGACAAAGGACGGCCTTATCTCCACAGCAACTTTAAGGTGATGGATACAACGACGCCTCCAGCACTGCACCGCTCCTGTGGGGCAAGAAATCACGGTTAGATTTGAGCTGCGTTTATTGAACAGGACTGGAGACATGCCGTTTGTTACTCTGGTCGCTGTTGGGCCGGCGGCTCTGCTCTGCAATTTTCTTCATCTTGTAGCACAGAGCCAGCTGGTGGTGGATGAAAGGTGATTGATCGGCCCGCTTCAGTGCTCGCTCCAACATATCAATAGACTCATCCAGTCGATTCTGAAACACAGTGAAGGAGGTGAAACTCACAGGATCACCGCAGCATCTAAAGGCAACCACAGCCTTTGAGACCTGGCTCAGAGGAGAAGATTCAGTGAATTAAACAGACACAGGATAACCTCCCAGTCAAAGAAGAATATGGTAAAATGAAACTTTAGAGGGGCGTGGCTTACTCGGCTTAAGTTGTTTTTTCAGAAGCCCGGGATCTTTTCGAGTGTAATTTTTTTCAGTTAGATGCCTGACTGACAATTGTATAAAACAATAACTACACACAATCAACAACAATATACAATTATGCACAAAAGAAATTACGAATGTAAAAAACCCGTGGTTTTATTTACCGTATATATGTTTATATATAAATATATACGGTGGCTCCTAGAGACGTAACTCCAAACTCCAAAACACATTTCTAGCATGAACTGAACTTCCAAACAGAGCCTAGATCACTTAAATTACACAATTGAAAGTATATGTGTATTGTTTGTGTATTTATACACAAGCACTCATATATATTCAAATAATTAAAGAAAAAGTTCATTTACCTGTTACTACCACACACCAGATCTGGTCGTTAGTACTTGCTGGCTTGTGTAGCCACGAGGTAACAAAAGCTCAACACTGCCCCCTAGCATCCTGGAGCACTTCTGTTGCGTTTGTACGTGTTTTGTCTCTAGGGGCCACCGTAAATATAAATATACTTTTATTTATTCACTCCACATAAAATGTAATAAATAATATGTACATTTCAACTTTTAACTATTTAAATTTTCAGCTTTTTCCTTTTAAACAAATTTAAAGTGAAACTACACAAAACACTGCAAACCACAACACAATTAAATATAAATTATAATATAAAACAAAAAGAAGATGCATATCCTCTGTCATATGGACCTGCATGAATAAACTTTCTGAATCCTTTATCATCTGCAACTGAAAATAGTTGTGGATGATTACTATACCTTTCTAATGTGACGTTGTTGTCCCTGGCTCTCTCTCTCCCTCCCGCTCTGTTCCTGTGCTACTGAGTGTAACTACCCGCCCCTCCCCCCTCTGCCCAGCGCAAAACACAAGGCTGTGAGAGAAAGAAAAAAAACGGCTCGCGTCGTTCACGTCAAAGACCTGGCTCTAAGAGCCGTTTCGTTCGCGCCCGACACATCACTAGAGACCAGAGGAGAGCTGAAGTTTGAGCAGGTACCAAAGCAAATCATTCGTACTGTACAAATAATATAAATATGACGGTGCATCACGAAAGATATCAGACTTGACCCATATTACGTCACTTGCTGTTCGAGTGAATCAACAAATGGTGAAATGAAAAGGCGAACAACAACAACGCTGTTTCTTTACAGAGTCTTTGCTCACATGTGTTTATTTCATATTTTCAGTTGTTTCCCTCCACGGCTAAACAAACTCTCTAAACCGGTTTCAGTCATGCACTGATGAACAAGAATGGACATGAGGAGCTTCTTTCAAAGAAAAAACTCAGATGTTATTTTATATATTATGCTTTGTATGTTGTTCAGTATATTTCTATGCAAAACAAGAGGAACTTCAACACACAGCAGGATATTCACAGCTGAAACCAGATATTTACACTTTAGGGAGAAAACATAAAAACATTATTTTACTGTACAACATCAACTTAGAGTAAACTTGTTTTGTTTTGCATAAATAAATGTTGAAATATATTTTGAATGAGTTAAATGTCAGAATAAAGAGAGACAGAGCTTCTATTTTTTATCACTTTGATCAAATGTAGGAGTACATGTACACTAAGTTTATTGTTAATTAATAAGAAACTGCAGACGATTCCATTCTGAGCTGAAGAAGCTTCTGATTGGTTCGTAGAGTCTATGTGAGTAAACTGGTGGCACAGCTGTGGATGCATATAAGGCAAAACACAGAGCCTGTTTCTGTGACATGGGGACATCAAGAGATGTCAACAAAACACCAGGAACAGAACTGTGGAGCTCCATAAGTGTGGCTCAGTTTGAATACAATTTGGTGCCATTTACAATTAAGAAATACAGATAGTTTCTCTGTTTACTCTGAAAGTTAAGAAATTTAGGAACAGAGAGAGAGAGGGAACAAGAGCAGGTGAGTCACACCTGTTAGTCACATGGTTGTTTGCCAAAACTCATCAGAACATGTATCCAGTACCGAGTGTAACTTTTTAGATACCATTTGTTATTTTTCAAATTCTACATTTATTAAGTTTTGCAGCTTGTTTGCACAACGAGGATAAATAATTATATAAACGTTTCTGAATCTAAACAGTGGACTTTGGTAGAATTAAAAACAAGTGTAGTGCAGGTCTGTGATGATTTTTAGTGCTGCTATCATCTAGTTCTGATTCTGGTTCTGTCTTGGTTAAGTCCTCAGTAGTCCTGATTTTGAACTGTTGTAGTCCTGTTTTAATTCTGGATCAGTTCTGGGTCTGGCTGAATCAGGGTTTAGTCCTCATGTCTTGATACAGCCCTGGTTTGTTTTCCCTGCATATGTGATATATATTTTTTCCTATATGAAGTCATTCTTTTTTGAACCAAACTGAAAACACAGCCTAATAAATCTTTCAGTCATTTCTAACCCCCCTCGCACATGCATACCACCCTTTAGGGCTAAGCCCCGGGTGTATAAAATGCCTGGCTCCGCCTCTGCCCTGGAACAGAAGGACCTCGACTTTCTTTGTAATTTCTCTGTATGAAACAGTTATGATGATCTGTCTCTGGCTGCTTTTTATAGCAACACAATACTTTCAACTGAGCCCAAGACCGACCCTGCATGGTGGATGTCTTTGACAGATGAGTCTCCACTCAGACCTACCTGATTACGAAAGTGTTTTCCTATATAGCGGTTGACGTGAGGATTATCAGGATCAGTTTTCAGTGCTTTATTCAACAGTTCCTCAGCTTCTTGGTATTCCTTATAGGCCCCCAGCTTCACAGCCAGCATGGACTGCAGGACTGCATCATCAGGGTTGATCTCCAGGGCCAAGCGAAGCTGTGTGATGGCCGGGGACTCTTCACCTTTCTTTAGGTTTTCCAAAGTCC